ATTTTGTTTTTTGCTTTAACTAGTGCAGAGGACAGAGTAATATATTCAGTTTGCTCCTTCACCCTGTGGCTGTATGTTTTAATCTACGTGTCGAGGTAACTGATTATGTGTGTGTGTGTATATATAAAATATACAATTCTTCTTATCTTATGTATGTATGTATGTATGTATGTATCTCTATGTATCTTATTCTTATGTCTTCTTCTTCTTCTTCTTCTTCTATGTATCTTATATCTTATCTTATCTTATATATTCTTCTTATATATATATATATCTTATCTTATATCTTATTCTTCTTATCTTCTTATACTTCTTCTATATCTTCTTCTCCTTCTTCTTCTTCTTCTTCTTCTTCTTATATATATATCTTCTTCTTCTTCTCTATCTTCTTAAATATATATGTATACACACATATAAAAACGGCATGCGTATCTCCATATACATGTGTGTTTTATTATGCGTTTTGGTGTTTACAACTGCACAGCATATAACACATTAGTGACTGTTTCTGGGCACCAGTGTAAAAAATTATGGAGTGTACTTGTATTCTAGCCCATCGTAGACCTGATTGGTTTTTATTACCTTGTAAACTAAAGCATCTTCAATTTGAAACATTTTACAAACTTTAATTTAAAGAGCCATGATTCTAGCTGCTAGTGCCTATATCACTTTGACCTGCATCGTGCTTGAAACAGCAATAATATGTGTAAATGAGAGAATAACAGTTCAATATATTTCAGCTTCTTGAGACAGTTTGAATACAGTCATCATCTCGTGTTATTACATTCTACAATTTGCTACAGAAAGACAAGAAATATGTGAGGGAATAAGTAAGTGCATTTTACCCCACCAGGAAATCACACAGAGCGATGAACACCCGATGACACAAAGTGCCACCGTGCGGATGAGGATCCGCCGTGGAGAGGTCCCAGAAACCGTGTTCAACCGTTAGGCCATATTGCGGCCCTTGGCAACAGTTTGTGTGGGGCTTCAAAATAACGAAAAAATGCATCCTGCAAAGGCTGGACAACGATTTAAAATGTGTTATGATGGAGCACTTCTATTAAAAGTGTAGGTGACGATGAAAGGATAATAAAATGTGTAGACACCAATAAAGTATGAAACTACTGAGTGTTTGTCAATAAAGGTTGGCCAACATGAAAAACTTATCAGCATTAGTCTTTGGGCTAATGACACAGGATGAATATCTAATTGTGAATGACTCCTGCTCTGTGGTATGGACAATATTGTCATTGATTGGAGTTGTGTCCAATATCATCATCATAAGAACGTTCATCATTCATGGGGCTCAATGACGGAGTCATCATTTCTTTCCTGGCCTTAGCCGTCTTTGACCTCTTGTATTTGATCGTCTCGTTTAGTCTTGGGGTAGCCACAGTATTCTATATAATGGAATTCAGATACCGACTGCAATGGTCCGTTGAACCATTTGGAATAAAAGTATTCTTCTTTAACATCATGATTCTAATCAACGTGGGAAATATGCTAACCACAACATTTCTGGCTGTTGCCCGTTGTATGTGCATTGTAAAACCTCTACAGTTTAAAAACACGTTCACAAAAGGCACAGCCATTGTTGTTCTGGCTGGGATTTCCGTATTCACAGTGTCCAGCTATACACCGCTTCTGGCAAATATGGCCATGAGAACAAGGTTGGATCTAAAAACCAACACTTCCCGACCAGCATTGTGGCTGTCACCCTACAGAGAGTCAATCAAGATCGTTGTGTGGACACTCGTAGACATGGTGTTACCACTGGTCACGGAAGTCATCGTCATTGTCTGTATCACCGTCATGGCCAACAGCTTGCGTGCATCGGCCAGATTCCGACAATCCATGTCCTCAAACTGTAACAGTACGTATGAATCCACTCTTCAGGGAAACCCAAATAAAGCCACCACTGACCCCAATAAACTAACAGGCAAAGATTTGCGAGTAGTTCAACAAGTGGTGCTTATTTCTGTGGTGTACATAATATGCAATACACCGAAAGATTCTGGTTAGCATTTTCACGAATGTAGAGCACGAATTTGCTATTGGTAGAAAATACAGTAGGCTGTATCTTGCTGTGAATAGTCTTGGGAAACACTTCGAAGTGTTCAATTCAGCAGTGAATATAATTATTTATTATAAATATAATACTAAATTTCGCACTGTGTTGAAAGGAGAAAGCCCTGATTGATTCGAAGGCAGCAACTATGAATTAAACTGTCATAGTAATATAAATATATATTCAAGACATAGTGTTTAAGATGCCAATTTAAATAAGAACACGTCGTATTGTAAACTTTGATGTGTGGTATTTTGTAATATTAATACTAAGTGAGGCAAACAAAAGGATTACTTTGCTAATTTTGGACTTCTGTGTTGAAAAAAAAGTGTAGCAAGAGACTTTTTGATTTGTATATTTCAGTTGAAGTAATACACTTGTGAGCTTTATATGGTAACTTAACTTATGTAGTCATATACCTATCAAGCAATAAATTGTGCACGAAATAAATATATTTCATTGTATTATTGCTTAAAAAAGCAAACAGCTATACGAATGGAAGACCAACATCAAGAGATGGACGAACAACAGTCTATGAGAGTAACCATCCAGGGCAAAAGACAGCATGTTGGAGATCCATTGCAGGCAGGGCCTGATTGATTTATTGGCCCATTCATTGTAATGACCAGAAATTAGAATACTTATAAAGGGAAAATACAAGGAACTGTGGAGATAACACACTAACAGAAAAGATCCACAAGACCCAACCAGCAGACTCAACAGAAAGCACCTAACAACAATTTTCCTATAACGAACAGGACACTGCAGGCTTAACTACCACATGCATAACATAAAGATTGCACAGTCCCCAAGTGGGCTTGTCAAACAGGACCACAAACACCTTAGCACATTCTGCAGGCCTGCCCACTCTACCTACAACTTCGGAAAGACACCTGGCCTCAAAAGCAAAGTGTGCAGAGCAAGCTATGGGGAACCATGAAGGACCTGCTGCTGACATACGAGTTCATGGAGGCAACCCGCCTGATGGTCTTATCTGAGCATACAAAACCACAGGCAAAGAAGAAGAAGAAGAAGAAGATTGATTGACTGTTTCTAGTAAAACAAAAAAAAAATAAAATACCAACACAATTTACCTTACAAAGAATATATTGTTATATGAGCCGTGGTATAATTTCAAACCGTAGAAAAAATAATGAAGAGGGTGAGAGGCAAGATCCTTAGGTATGACATCAGTAAACCGTCATAACTACGCCATGAAAAATATAATCACATACTGCTGGCCTTGTGCCTACCTCAATTGCAAATATCGAAGGATTTCTAGTGTGTGTGTGTGTATGTGTGTGTGTGTGTGTGTGTGTGCGTGCGTGCATGTATATATATATATATATATATATATATATATATATATACTATCTCTATATCTGCTTCGGCAATGATTGCGACATTACGCATATTAGACACGCGTGATTTCTTTTTTCTTTCTTTTCATAAAATTTTTAATGAGGGAGAGGGTAGTCGGTTGATTTTTTTTTTTTTTGGGGGGGGGGGGGGGGGGCGGCATTGAAGACTATCTTTATTTCTGCGCAGACAATGATTGCGACAGTAATCCTATTAGACATGTGCGATTTCTTTTTTCTTTCTTTTCTATTCAGACAAACTATGCCATAGCAACGCGCGACCGGGTACAGCTAGTATATATAAACATACAGCGACAGGGTGAAGGAGCAAACTGCATTTGTTACTCTGTCCTCTGCACTAGTTGACGCTAAAAACAATATTCTCAGTATCCCAAGTAAAAAAAAAAACACAGTTAGTGACCCTTTTTTGTTGCTACATATATATATGCCCCAACACCCCCCCCCCCCCCCCACCCCCCAAAAAAAATCAACCCACTACTCTCTCCCTCATTAAAATTTTTATGAAAAGAAAGAAAAAAGAAATCGCACGTGTCTAATATGCGTAATGTCGCAATCATTGCCGAAGCAGATATAGAGATAGTCTGGTTTGCCGACTCTAGAACACGCAACATATAATTATGTCATTATAGTGTTCGTTTAAACTGTATTATTAGGACTTCAAAAAAATGTCTTTTTTTTTTGTTTGTTATCACATGCTCAAGCTTTTTGTATATTTTCAAGAGCTGGAAGTAAAGCTTACAGCTGTGCTTGTAAATAACCAAGTAGGTTGTAAAATAAAATGAGAATAGCGGAGGTAGCCTTAGTAAAGTAAAAAAAAAATTAGGAAATGAAAACCCTAAAATCTTGTGTCAAGCTCTTCAAGTTAACAATGTCTGTCATCACCACCTCCCCTCCCCCATCCACTGACTACTGCTCTCTCCCTCTCCGAAGGATTCAAAAGTCATCACCTGACGACATTCTTAATAACTGACCTTGACATCCCTGGCCATCCGGACTTAAATGGAGAGCAGAAATTGTACTGTAAAGTAAATGCAACCAGTGTAATATTTACCACACAATCCTTCAAGTACCAGTACAACTACTACCACCACAATAACTAAAATAATGTCACTACTATCTGTTTTACCATAGGAGTAGACACGGGGTCGTGAGCCAGAGGGTTTAGTATTGGTTGGAGGGGGGGGGTGGGGATCGAAGACTATCTCTTTATCTGAGCAGACAATGATTTTTCCACTTAGCCAAAATATGCCACAGCAACGCGTGGCCGGGCACAGCTAGTTTTAAATAAAATAGACGCAGGAATAAACACTGTTTTATCACACAGGAATAAACACTGTTTTATCACCAGCTCTTTGTTTATTAATCGATCTTTAGTCGGCGGCGTATTTTGTGGACCAGCCGACGAATACACACACACGCACACACAAACACTCACACACACACACACACACACACACACACACACACTTGTAGTGACAACGAACACTTTGTGATGTTTGGATCCTATACTTATTGGAAATAATGTGGCATATATTTAGTCGCTGGTAATCTTAAGTCACAACTGTCAGCTCAATTTCCTTGGACTTTTTCAGGCACTTTAATCTGAAAGGGAAAGAAGTTGATTATTAGTTAACATGTAGCAAAAATTATTCGATGCATATCTTTGTACAGGCATCACAACCCAGCCTCAACATTGGTTCACTGCTGTGGGTGAAGTAGACCATTTTACTTTCAGTAGTTTGAATTTGTTTACTAGACGGGCAACGCTCATATGATTGTCTAAATTAACGCAAAGCAGTCTGTGACCTAATTTATCTGCAGCTGAAACTGTCACTGAGACTGCTGTCTTTGTTAGCTGCTTTTGATAGCAGTGAAACAGAGGATGATGTCCTGATATAGATCATTCAGCGCCGTATGGTGGTGCTATCGCCACAAACGATGTCTATTAGGATGCTTATTTTGGCCCCCTACTATCCATGAATGCACTTGGTACATATTTAAGGCTTGTATAGACCTGGGATCCAAGGTCAGGCTACGTCAGAACCTGAGCCCACGATCTTCGGATCCCTAGGCGAGCGTCTAGAGCTACACCACAGCGGCTCCACGTGAACTATTATGACAAATGATTTCTTGTGTCCATCGTTGCGATGACCACCTCTGACTCTTCTCCCATTAACCATTAAACTCCCCCCCCCCCCCGCCCCCACCCTCCCTTTCGCAAACCCATAGTTGGGAAACTATCATAGCAGTTAATATGGCCAATCTATTTCAATTTACAAGAAAAGATAATACAGCCACTACTCACACGCACACTCCTTCTTCTTCTTCTTCTTTTTCTTCTTCTTCTTCTTCTTCTTCTTCTTCTTCTTCTTCTTCTTCTTCTTCTTCTTCTTCTTCTTCTTCTTCTTCTTCTTCTTCTTCTTCTTCTTCTTCTTCTTCTTCTTCTTCTTCTTCTTCTTCTTCTTCTTCTTCTTCTTCTTCTTCTTCTTCTTCTTCTTCTTCTTCTTCTTCTTCTTCTTCTTCTTTCTTCTTCTTTTCTTCTTCTTCTTCTTCTTCTTCTTCTTCTTCTTCTTCTTCTTCTTCTTCTCTCTTCTTCTTCTTCTTCTTCTTCTTCTTCTTCTTCTTCTTCTTCTTCTTCTTCTTCTTCTTCTTCTTCTTCTTCTTCTTCTTCTTCTTCTTCTTCTTCTTCTTCTTCTTCTTCTTCTTCCTCTTCTTCTTCTTTCGTTCGCTTGAAATAAATTATTTATATGTGCAATGTTGTCTCTAGTAAGAACTTCACTGTCTTTCGTAATTCATTCAGCGACCAGTAAAGTTTAACTTCCACCGATGTCTTTCTTGGCCAAAAAGTTTGTCTTGATTTGTTGTAATATTTGTTGTATTTGAAACAGTCTTGGAGGATATGGTCGACGTTTGGTGCAGGAGAGCCTAGCATATGATACCACAACATACAGCTTAAGAATGGAGGTGGAGGCGGTCACTGCAGCTTTCCGCTGGAAAGAGAAAACCACACACACACACACACACACACAAACACACACACATACACATCGTGATTGTAACTGACTCAGAAAGCATACTGAGGAAGATCAGAACAGGCATGCTTCGTGCAAAGTGGCATGCCTCGCTGCAGAAAACATGGATGAGGAGTATTGTCTGGATTTTTTTCACCGGGGCTCGCCGGTGTGTTGGGAAATAAACAGACGGACAGATTAGCTGGCTCTGCACAACTTGGTGGAATACTGATGCATGATAAGGCAGATGTGGTTAGTGCCTTGTTGGAAAGAATGTACAGTTCGGAAGGGCAGATGAATCACCACAGTCTGATTAGATTGATGCAGATGGGAGTGACGAGAGGTTTTGGCAGATGCTCGGTGCTCACAGGGAAGGCAAGACGGACGTTTGATCAAAATATCACTAGCACCATTAGTATCGGAACTCTTCGTTGGCTGCTGAAGCACGGGGACAGAGCGCTTATAGGAATGCCCTGAGTGCTGTGATGTCGGTTCTTGAATCAAATCAAATCAATCAAATCTGTTGTTCCAGGTGCCAGTCCACATGTGGACATGGCTGATTCGCCGACTTTAAATTGTGAATACATGCGGCTGCGAAGTCGATTGTCTCCTGTTCTAAGGCATCGAAAAATAACTTGCTCTTGCCTGTCCATAAAATGATAATCGTCTTAGAGCGGTTTTGGTGGCCTTCTGATTTCTGTGATACGCACACTGACTAAAATCTACAAATGTCTTTACCAGCGTAGGAGTGCAAGTTATAGCTGGCTGATGTAGACAATTACTAATAATAGAGGGAATAGAGGGAATAAAATTGTATGATTGAATCACTTTTGTAGAGCTTTAGCAGATAACTAAGCAAGCTTCAGTGGTCTAAGAGGTGAAGAATAGAGGCTGGCGCTGGATAGGACACACAATGAGAAAACCAGAGAACAGTATAACTATAATGTCTTTGCACTGGAACCCACAGGGGCATAGGAATAAGGGAAGGCCAAAAAACGCATAGAGAAGGGAACTAGGGAATAAATTTAGAAAGAGGGGGAGGACATGGGGACTGCTGCATTCGATAGCAAAAGATAGAACGACTTGGCGTGAGCTGGTTGAAAGTCTATGCCCCATTGGGGGCTAGAAAGGCAGAAGAAGAAGATGTAGGCGTTATAGATGATCTAATTATATAACCTTTTTTTGCGACGTATCTTTGAGCTGCATTGTTGATCTGCCATCCAGACTATGAATATTTTTTTTTTAACCTCAGGTTGGTCTGATAAATCTTTAAGTAGCTTCCCAGAGAGGACACACTGATCGATCGAAGGAAGAAACAAACTCACCCGTGTCCCCTGTCTTTGACATCCTCCAGAGTTTGTGGCAATGGCTGCCTGGACGTCTCCGGCAAAAACAAAGCCAACAAACCAGCAATGATACTCAGTGCTCCAAACACTAACAGTGGATACGACCCCCATACAACCTTCAACTCCAGCACAAATGGGGCAAATATTCCACCAATCCTAGCCGACATTGAGGCCACGCCCATGCCTATATTTCTGCAGAAAGATAATAGGGTTTAAATTATGTAATATATACACACCCCTTTTTTTAATTATCCAGTTTCGACCTTTTTAGGACGAATTTTTTTTATTATTTGAAGCCCCACCCTGGCTTTTGCTAGGGGCCGCAATATAGGCAGGTCATAAATATGGGCAATTGTCTGAACGCGGTTTCTGGGACCTCTTCACGGCGGTCCTTATCCACATGGTGGCACTTTATGTCATCGGGTGTTTATCGCTTGTGTTATGTCCTGGTGGGGTAGAAAGTCAATCAGTAATATATACATAATTAACATTTCTTTCTTATATTTTAATCACATCAATTCATCATCATCATGTTATTATACAAGTCGTCCTCATGTGGGATGCAATTTTTTGTTATTTGAAGCCTCACACTAGATCCTGTCGGGGGCCTAGAATTTAGCCAGGCAATAGATATGGCCTAGCCATAGATTCGGCCTAACGGCTGAAAGAGATTTCTGGGACCTCTCCAATGATGATGCGGATGAGGATCACCCGTGAAGAGGTCCCAGAAACTCCTGCAGCCGTTATGGCCATATTGTGGCCTGGCTATATTAAGGGCCCTCGGCAGAAGCCAGGGTGGGGTTTGAAATAATACAAAAATTGAGTTTCACACCGAAATGACTATAACGTTTCCCGGAGAAGTTGACTCTCTATCTATCTTTCTTAACCCCACCAGGACATCACACAAGCGATAAACACCCGATGAAACAAAGTGTCACCATGCGGATCACCCGTGGAGAGGTCCCAGAAACCGTGTTCAGCCATTAGACCATATTTATGGCATGGCCACTGGCAAGAACCAGAGTAGGGCTTCAAATTAAAAATTTCATGCCACAAAGGGATGACTGACTGACTGACTGTTTTTCTACCCCACTAGGACATCACACAAGCGATAAACACCCGATGACACAAAGTGCTACCATGCGGATGAGGATCGCCGTGGAGAGGTCCCAGAAACCGCGTTCAGACATTTTGCCATATGTATGGCCTGCCTATATTGCGGCCCCTGGCAAAAGCCAGAGTAGGGCTTCAAATGACAAAAAATTTCGTCCTGTAAAGGACGAAACTGAATACTTAACAAAGGGATGACAAGATTAGGAGAGGATGAAAAAACATTCAGTAAAGCTAGATGTTGTAGACAAAATATCTTGTAGGATAAGACTCAAATAATATTTTTGTCAGATTTCCTATTTACCATCATGTTCTTTGTTACACTGGAATGGAGCCAACTGAGAGTTGAATATATTAACTGCATCCAGAACAAATTAGTTAATCTCAAACGGACTAAACATCTTTTACAGGACGTCATGAGCTGCCCAGAGTATCCCCACCTGTTTGTTGTTTCACCTCCCCTTGTGTGTTCTGGGTCAGCAATTTTGGACAAAAACTAAAAACAAAAACCCACTGCCTCCCTAACTAGCATGTCGTAAATAGGCCACTTATTGACGGATGTTTCCTCCTGTGTTGAGAGAGCTGCTTAGTCTCGAGGCATCGTGTCCTCCTCGAGTGCTACAGGTTCCGGGTTCAATCCTCGGTAAGGGCTGGGACTCTTTCACGTGGGCTTGGACCTCTAGTAATTTCCTCTGGTCTGTGGGTAGCGTCGGCTCTGTGGCTACGTCGATGCGAACGCTTCGTAATGCCAGGATGCCGGGTTCGATCCCAGCTGCGGGCCATGCGCGCTTGCGTTGGTTTCGACAGTGGTATCAAGAAAGCCGACCGTCCAGTAGGCAATGGCAAACTACTAGGCGTATATTTGCCTAGAAAAACCACACAACAGCCAGGGTCTCTTGGGGTTGGTTCTACAACGTCATGTAAAAGGATACCCAACTAACATTAACCTCTGGGTAGTGAGATCGGACGCCTTTGTGCATTGTTGAGCAAGTAAAAAATCCATAGACAGTTGGAAATCGAAAAAAGTAGCCTTAGGGGCAAAATTTAGAGTTAAAAATCTACCCAAAGTTTTTCAGGATCCTCCCCGGTGCTACAGTGCCTGTGCAATGTGCTGAGCTTCTTCGGACTCGGACGAGTTAGAAAAAGAACGAAGAATTTATGAGGTACTACCCGTGTACCATGATGTTGGTTTGTTGTTCAAACTTCAGAATTCCTTCTAAGTTGTAACTTAGATCTGTGAAACACATGTTCTAGAAACTTCAGGTTCTGAACAAGACTAAGTGCAGAAGTGGGCGAATAACCATAACGTTTCACGACTTCTTTTCAATTTATATAGGTTACTTCCCTTCTTTACAAGTCTCTTTGTGGGGTGCAATTTTTCGTTATTTTGAAGCCCCACCCGCAATTAAGCCCCGCCAAAATAATGGTCTAGTGGCTGAACGCGGTTTCCGGGACCGCTACACAGATTATCCTCATCCACGTGGTAGCACTTTGTGTCATCGGGTGTTTATCGCTTGTGTGATGTTTTAGTAGGGTAAAATGTACTACTACTACTACTTACTTTCCTTCCTTTGCCATTACCATATTAGTTTCAAATTACAAAAGCGAATGGAATCGAATAAATAAAGTCACAGGACTGATTTAGTCAAGCGATGTAATGTGAAAATATATCAAAGTCCTTACGTCCTTTTTAGGACGTAATTTTTTGTTATTTGAAGCCCCACTCTGGCTTTTGCCAGGGGCCGCAATATAGGCAGGCCATAAAAATGGCCAAATGTCTGAACGCGGTTTCTGGGACCTCTCCATGGTGATCCTCATCCGCATGGTGGCACTTTGTGTCATCGGGTGTTTATCGCTTGTGTGATGTCCTGGTGGGGTAGAAAGTCACTCACTCACTCAAGCGATGTAAAACCATATGTAGTGGACTGCAGCAAACTTTCATTTTACCTGACCACTGTAGGAAACAATTCAGCTGCCATTAGATAGATGATGGAATATGAGGCTGTGATGGAGAATTTCCCCAGAAGAACGAACACCTTCACCAGGATCTTCATAACTAAGGAAGAAAATAAAAATACCATCATTAACGTCACAATCTGAGGCGCAGTTTTTCATTATTTTAACGCCCCACCCCGGCTGTAGTCGGGGCCCTGATATTACCTAACGGTTGAACCAGGTTTCTGGGACTTGTGCCCGGATGATCCTCGTCCGATTGGTGGCACTTTGTGTCACCGGGTGTTGGTTCTGATGGGGTTGAACAACAAACAAATGAAAACTAACATTACTTTTTTAATAAGTAAAGGATTTCAGAAAATGCTTGAGTTAAAATATTTAATAAGTGAACGAAATAAAACAAATAATCAGATAAACCACCCAAAATGTACCACAGGTTACATCGCAACAGTAGCATGCCTAATAAAGCTGAGATACACGGTTGGACGGGAATTTCTTCGGTTGGATTCTCATCCGAATAGTGGCTAATTGAGTGATATGTTGTCAATTTTTTAGAAAGAATACTTATTGGAAAAAAATATGGCAAGAATTGTAGCATATGTTCTGATGGTAGTCGACTCGACAGCTGGTCACTTGTTCGATCAGGCGTGGATAATTTGGTCTCAAGAGTAAGCCCGGCCTGGTATGAAACCCAAGAAATTTTTGGGGAAGTAATGATAGCCACAACAGCAGTGCCTATGGCACCCACATATTGATGTATACAAAACAGAGGACTAGTTCCACATAAAGAATATATCTCAGTCTTTTAACCAAAGTACCAGTGTCCCTTATTTTACTGACCTTATCTGACCAATGAAGGCTGCCGTGATGTAGCGGCTAGCCGCTTGTCTGTGGATTCAATGGTAGTTGACTTTTTTTTTAAATGACCTTGGCTCCCTGATCGAACCAGCCTTAAATGGGTTCCAGGTAAAATGCTAGGAAGTGAAGGCGGCCAGCGTGATGTTGACGACATCATCCAACGAGGGCCGGCTGGTCTGTACAATACAGATGTAACTCTATTTGCCCCCTGCTACTGAAGTCATGGAAAAGGGTCCTTTATTTTACTTATCTGAAAAATACCTCACTGAAACACTCCCATTTCTTCCCCAACCGAGCGGAAGTTCAAGGAACCGTCGGGTGCCTTGATAGTATATGTTGTTCATACGATGAAAGGGGTTTTCTGTATTTGTACTTGTCATATTCTCATGTTTGGGATTTTTATCCCACAGAATGCAATTCTGGAGGGTATATAGTACCTACATTACTACCTACATACCTACCAAATACTGACCTCAACCAATCAAACAGGTACGGTCAACACAATAAAGCTTCGCTGCAACAAGCTCTGTCTACTTTCTTGGTTGTACATGCTCTCTGACTGCTAAATGCCCATGTCTTGATGTTCAAATTCCCTTGTATCGTTGTTTACGTATTGCTCTATTGCCAGTAACTTTTCCATCTAGCGTGGTTTTAAAAGGAGTATCAAGTCTGTTATTGTAGCCAAAGTATTTCAGTTACCTTTTCCTTTAATTTATTTTTTTTTTTAACACTCTATCCAATGACTCTCTTGTCACTCTTAGTCGTTTGTAAAATGGAAACGAATTCGTTTTATTTTTAACAGAAAAGAAAAATGCCATAAACAAATTTGTTTCCACAAATCTAAAAAAAAAACGTTTTGGAACCTCTGTGTTTAAGAAATGTGTATCGAAATCTTTACCTGGATCGTCCTCAGTGATAAGAAAGCCAGCCACGATACAGGACAGACCCGCAAGACACATGGATGAGATCAATGATAGTCTGCGCCCTGTCCGATTCACCAGGAGCAGGCAGAGAACGTAGGCAACGATACTGACAACACCAATCAGGCAAAAATTCAAGTATGGGTTACCAGACAGGTTTTCAGAATTCAAGGCGATGCCATAAAACACAAATGAATTGACCAACCTGAAAGCAATTGCATACAATTAATCAATTACGTAGGAATTAGTTTTAATAACAGCAAAGTGTAGGACTGAACAATAATACCGTATTTTAAATTAAATACATATTAAAAGTAGAAACGTTAATCATGTTAAGCTCTTCTTCGTTCTTCTTCTTCTTCTTCTTCTTCTTCTTCTTCTTCTTCTTCTTCTTCTTCTTCTTCTTCTTCTTCATTTTCTTCTTATTATTATTATTCTTTTCCTATTTCTTCTTCCTCATCTTCTTCTTTTTTTCCTTTTCTTCTTCTACGCTATTAAAAAAAAGGTTTTCAAATTGTATTGTGATTTGCTAATAGGCTAAGGTGTATGCGCATGTATACTCAACACATCCCATTTCAGCAAATTCAGAAACTCCCCCGCCCCCCCCCCCTTTCCCGTAAATTGAGCCCATGAACTTACATTAGGACAAATTTAGACTCGTTTATGTAAACAGAATGAAAAATGCCGGATTTACATAGAAACAGCAGGGATATAAAATAAGTAACAAGAATATCATTTGGCTTACCAGTTAAACCAGACATTCAGAGACAACAACGCCATGTTCCAGGTCCGCAGACAGTCTATAAAGAAATATTGTTTCTTTTCTCCTTTTAACGCCACGTCTTCCTTCATAGCACGGATGACATCTGGCTGAAGAGTTACGCCATTCATCTTGGCCGCCTGCAGAAGGATAACTTCAGCTTCGTCGTCTCGACCACGAGACAGTAACCACGGGATGGATTCTGGTAACAACCTGAAATACAAGATCGCCATTTATCTTGCTTCTGAGATCTGACCTGAAAGCAGAACTTTTCTCTCTCTTGGCGTTAGCGCAGTCGATAAGAGGCTCGCTTTCAAATCCAGCTGCGACTCGCTGCAGCACAAGGTCGGTGTTCGAAACCGGGCGGCTCCCTGGGTTCACCCATCCTCTAGGAAAGGGGTACCAGAGTTGATACTCTGGGGTAAATGGAGGAACGTCGCTGGAGCTACAGAATGACGTGCGAACGGCGACACAGGCGGACAATTGTTATCAGCTGTCCGTACTGGTGGCAGAGCACTTATGGTTTATAACCGTGAGCAATGACGCTTGTTCACATCTTCAGACTTTACCTTTACCTTTATCTCCAGACAAAATATTTCAGTAGTTACCACAAAGTGTCTATAGCAGTAGGTGGCTGCGTGTGTATGCTTGTGGATATGCTAAGACTGCAGTATGTGTCAACTGTTCCATAACTGACAGTGATTAACATGCTGTATGTTTTTGTTTGACACAGGAGCGAAGCAACTATGAGATGATCCGTTTGCTATAAAGCTAAAACTAAGACTATAGATTACCAGATATAGATTTAAGGGTGCGAAATAAAAAGGATGCCTAAAATGGGTTCTGTACTGCATGCTATGGCGTATTGCCAGACAAATAAACCTGCCTGAAAGTATTTTTCATGCTTACTGTTTGCGGTAAATTCAGTTTTTTAGAAGGTTGAACGAGGTGTCTGTAATTTGTCAAGTGGGATAACCATACAGAAAGTCATACTTTGAATAAAGGGATAGTCAAGCCTTTATCCAGCGGTCAACGAGGACTAGAAAGGTGTAATAAACTTAAAGAAAGACATATTCACGTAAAAATTCCCTTGGCAGTTAGAAATCGAAAGGAGTAACCTAACGGCGCTGCCCGGGCAAAATTAGGAGTTAAAAATCTATTCAAAGTATTTCAGGATCCTTGTTGATGCAATAGAGTTCGTGCACTTCCCTGAGATTTTCGAACTCACGCTTGAGTTAGAAGTAGAATGGAGCACTTATGGGTTACACCCGAGTGCCATGATGTTGATCCGTTGAATAAACATAAACAAACATAAACATTAACACAAACGGACATAACACGCTGTCATTTTGTATAAGAGTAGGTCGCACCTCCTTTTCTGTCTAACTCGCCATTTTTTTAAATTGATTTGTGCAGAGGAAATTGTGTTCGAGTATCTAGGGTGGCATGTCTAGAATAGCTGTATCAAACCATATGCAAACAATTGCTTTATTGTTTACTTCCGACAGAAACATTTCTATCATTTTAATGAGGATTCACAAATTAAGGTCCGGTGTCTTTGCCTCTTGGTAATGTTCCTGAATTAATGGGATGGATGGGGAGCGGGGTAGCCAAGTACACAATATCAATAATTATAATTTTTTTATTTATTTTTGAATTATAACTTGCTGAATAGCAAAAACAATTTTTTTTTAAACAACAAAATATGTTAAAAATACATTAAAGGAACCTTCCCTTCTATGCGTTGTTAGAGAGTAAGCTTTGGTGCACTAAAAGATTTCCCTGGGAAATAAATATGTGGAACGTGGGATAGGGTAGGGGAAGGGGGGAAGTGCGCCTGAGAACGCTTATAATTTGTCGGGAAAGGGGTGAAGGAATAATTAATCATAAGTGAATGAACAAGGTACCATCTTCATATTGAAAGTTGCTGCCAGAGACAGCCAACACGTGCCTTTTATTAGTCTCTTGTCCTGACTGGAAACTTTCTCAGAATCCAGTTCTTTCGTCTTCGATTTCAGTTGTTCGCCTGTGTTGCTGTCAGTCACTTGCTGATCTGCTTTCCAGTTTATTTTTCATATGAATTATGTTTGTAAGAGGTGTGTCTTCTAATGTGATCGTAATATTTCTCATATTCCTTTTCCATTTTTTAATACACTTTCTTTTCATTAAAACTTCTTTAAAACTTTTGTATTTGAAATTTTCTGCCCAATAAAATACAACCTAGTCCTCCGTAAATCAACATATCTAGTACTTTCTAGAAACTTGTTCATCGTCCATGTTTCTGTTGTAAAATGTAGGTATCAGTAAATATAATATTTAACAATTCTTATTTTCAGTATTCTGTTTATTCTTAACAGTTTTTTTTTTAATTTGCTTGGCTATGCCTATTCCGTTTTCTATTCACTTCTACCATCTTCTGCTATAAAATATGTATTTGTATGCTACATGCAATA